AAGAGGATACAGCTCCAGGCAGTGTCTCCTTGCTTTAAGGCTCAGTCTGTACAACGGATAGGAAAGGCCTTATCTACTCTAAGACTGCATTAGTGGTGGTTAACCTTTCAGGGAAGCAGTCCCCTTTGAGAATTGACTGAGAGTTGTCAAGTGAATTTCCAGAAAAACAAAAGCAGAAACAAAAAAAAAAAACAGAAGGAAAGAGCATTCTCGTAACAGTTTTCACAGGATTTGAGGGGTTCATCTGCTCAGGCTCTCCCTCCTGCCTTGAGAGTCCTCAGCTGTCTAAGCCCAAGCTCTTCCTTTCTCACAGGACTCGTCCCAAGGGAATTCGGTGTATCAGATCGCCATGGTGCATTACATCAAACAGAAGTACCCCCACCTCCAGGTGATTGGGGGGAACGGTGAGTGCGGGGTTGCCTCTCAGCCCCCTGCTCCTGCCCCTCCACTGAGAAACCTTTTTCTGTCCTTCAGCATCCCTAGGTGATGGTATGGCTCCTGGCATGGGTGGCATGAAGCATGATGGGCTTTGGTCACCATAGGGAGGTTGGGGGTGCTAGACTGGGGTCCCAAGAAGCCGTTGGGCAGGCAAGGGCATCCCATCCTCATATTGTTCCTCTGCCCCATTCCCACCCCCAGTGGTGACAGCAGCCCAGGCCAAGAACCTGATTGATGCTGGTGTGGACGGGCTGCGCGTGGGCATGGGCTGCGGCTCCATCTGCATCACCCAGGAAGGTGGGTGTCAGGAGGTGAGCGAGTGCCCGCTGGCCGGGGGGCCTCGCCTTTGTTCCCCAGATGCATATCAAGTACTCTCTCTGCCAGGCCCCGTTCTGCCATGGTGGGCTCCGGGATGACCCAGGCATGGGCCGCACCCCGTCGGGCCCACTGACTTAAGGGAAGGCAGATGTAAGCAGGGCGCAAGAGCTCCAGCCTGCTTCTCAGAGTGTGGTCAAGGGGGCTCCGCCTGGGGCTTGGGGCCTGGGGTTGGTGTGACTGTCCAAGGGGCTTGTTGGAACCTCAGGGTTTGGATTTGATTTGTGACAAGGCAGATATTTAAGACACAGAGACGACGTGTCCCTGAATATATAAGGATATATTATATACCCACTTCACCATGTGGTTGGGGAGTGGGGAGTTCCACCTAATTACAAAGCCCTTCTGCAGGGTGGGTTTCTGAACATGAAGTGGGAAAGGGGGACCCTGACATGTGTCCCCCATGTGGTTATTGAGGAGGTACTCCCTGGAGGCTGGTGTCTGACTTGTGGGGTGGCTGCCTGGAAGACTGGGATCCTAGCTTGGCCTGAGGAGATGTACCCGGCCCCTCCTGTGAGGGCCATTTCTCCACAACACTGAGTGACGCATTTGGCCTTTCCTGGCCCAAACAGCTCTCCCTTTTGGTCTTCAGAGCCTCTGCTATTTAGGTTTGTGCCCTTCGCCTTAGCTGGCTACCATGGTGAAATGAGGGCCCTCTCTCACCCACTTAACAAATATTCATTAGGCACCTACTTGTCTCAGGTACTGTTCAAAGCCTTGAGGTAGAGTAGGGACAAAACAAATGAGAGGCGCCATCTCTGGTTTATCCAGCTTTGCGTCCGTCCTGAGATAGGTGCTGGTCCTTACAGTCCCCATCTAAAACCTAACACTGAAGGACCGTGGACACTTAGACTTGAAGAAATGCAAACCAGTATCCCAAAGGGGACCATAGTACCTAACCCTGGTAACAGTTTTTGCAAACGAAAGCCTTGAGGGGGAACTTGTACCTTGAGAGCAGGTAAGGCTGTGGCCACCCATCTGGGGACATTGGGCTCTGAAGGCCACTTCTGATGCCCCATCAGAATCCCCTGTCATGCTCTTAGGGGTGGGGTGGCCAAGATCCCTGGAGTGACACTCATCCTGGTGGTATTTGCCAGCACCTGTGTTACGCCTCAGAAACACCATCCAGCTCCCTTTTCCTGACTAGAGGTAGTGCACAGGAGGAAGAGCTGACCTGGCCCCGTGCCTGGCCCCAGAGTTGCTGTTGACTCTTCTCTGCCTTGTGCACCCCACCCTCCCCCAGTGATGGCCTGTGGTCGGCCCCAGGGCACTGCTGTGTACAAGGTGGCTGAGTATGCCCGGCGCTTTGGTGTGCCCATCATAGCCGATGGCGGCATCCAGACCGTGGGGCACGTGGTCAAGGCCCTGGCCCTTGGAGCCTCCACAGGTGAGGGGAAAATGTGCTGGGGATTGGGCAGGCGAGGGCTGGAAGCCAGGTGGGGCACTCGTGGGCTGGAGGCACTAATCCCTTGCCCACTGTAGTGATGATGGGCTCCCTGCTGGCTGCCACCACGGAGGCCCCTGGCGAGTACTTCTTCTCAGACGGGGTGCGGCTCAAGAAGTACCGGGGCATGGGCTCACTGGATGCCATGGAGAAGAGCAGCAGCAGCCAGAAACGATACTTCAGGTTCCCTGACCCTGGGCCCCACCTGGGCAGATCAGCCCACAACCCTTCAGGGCCCCCTCATGCCACTGACTTCCCCAGATGGCAGCCAGTCCTCATATGGTGGTTCTGGAAACTGAGGCACAGGGCATAAGTAGCAGACACAGGATCTGTCCCTGGGCCACCTGACTCAGAGCCCAGCGAGGGGTGGCTTGGGGGACCTTCCCGGGCGGTATCCCCTTTGTGCCCTTAAGAGGTGGGGTGGGGTCCTTTGAGCTTCAAGCTGCTGGGCTCAGTCTTTCACCTTCCACGCAGCGAGGGGGATAAGGTGAAGATCGCACAGGGTGTCTCGGGCTCCATCCAGGACAAAGGGTCCATTCAGAAATTCGTGCCCTACCTCATAGCGGGCATCCAACACGGCTGCCAGGATATCGGGGCCCGCAGCCTGTCTGTCCTTCGGTGAGTGCTGAGACTGGGGCGGCTCCTGCTTCCTTTCTCTCGCTCTTCTCCACCTGTGGTGGCCCTGACCCGCTCCACCTACCTGCTTCCTAGGTCCATGATGTACTCAGGAGAGCTCAAGTTTGAGAAGCGGACCATGTCGGCGCAGATCGAGGGTGGCGTCCATGGCCTGCACTCGTAAGTGTGGTGGCCTCCTCGCTGTCACCTGCAGGCAGTGGGTTGGGCAGGTGGGGCCAGGGTTGTGAGGCCAAGCTGAGGTCAAGGGACCCCATGGACCACCTGCAGCAGGGACAGATGCTGCTGCAGGATGGCCCCGCACCCTCTCCTCCAGGGCCCAGCCACCCTGTTCCTCATCCTTTAGCCCCAATGCAAGCAGGCCCTCCCCTTCCCTCGGGCCTCTTCCGAGCAGGGCACAGGAGGTGTGGCCACTCACTGTACCTGGACTCCCAGCCCTTGCTTGCTCAGGAAGCTTGGTGGCTGGTGGCAGGGGCTGGTGGTGGCACCAGGCAGCCAGGCAGAAGATGCGGGTGTGACCGCTCTGGCAGGGACAAGGGCAGAGAGACAGATGCCAGGGCCAGCGCTGGGGCAACCGTGGGCGGGGGCAGTGCTCGTTGGCAGCAGTTCCGTTGGCAGCAGTAGTTGCAGGCATGCGCCCCACCCTGGTCAGGAGCCCTGTCCCCAGGCATCAGCGGGCGTCTAACCTGTGTCTCTTTCCGCCCCACCCTTCCGTAGCTATACCTTTCTGCCGTGTAAGTAAACGCGCTGCCCGGGCCAAGCGTAGAGTAGAGCAGGGGCAGTCTGGGTGGGACCTGGGCTGGAGGTGGGGGTGGGTATTGGGTGGGAGTGGGAGGGTGCTGGGGTGTAGCCATGAGATGTGGACCCTGGGTTTGGGCCCCCCGGCCCCCTAACTCCAACACCATCGTGGAGGAAACCAGCAATGTCCCCTCATCCAGCTGAAACACAGATCCCTTTCTGGCTGCAGAGACGCCTGTGACCTCAGGCCTAAGGCTGCCCCATCTTAGACTGGACCCAGTGACCACAAGCAGCCTAGGCCACTGTGCCTGCTGGGCTGGGGCTAGGTGTGGACACAGGCAGCAGAGGTTTGGCCCCAGGTTGGAGCTTGCTCCATGAGGATGGGCCGTGCCTGCCTGAGCTGTCCCTCCACCCTGGGCACTGAGGACAGTCCACTCAGATGTGGCGATGGCCCAAAGGAGCATGGCCATCTCTGGACCCAGCATGGTTCTTCAGGGAACGCTGGCCTAGGGCAGGACAGAGGCCCAAGGCCTGCTCCAGGCCCTCCTCCTGCCCGCTACGGCTGAGATCCCAGGGCTCCTCAGCTCTCTGCTCTCTCCCGCATCTGGGGGCCCTGGGGCAAGGGTTTTGGGAGGGAGCAGGGTCCACACACCCACTCTTATTCCCCCTCTTGCCTTGTCCCCACAGTTACGAGAAGCGGCTGTACTGAGGACAGCGGTGGAGGCCGAGGTGGTGGAGGGGGCGCACCCCAATGTCCACTTTCGGGCACAGCCTCCCTCCATAACTGAGTGATCCACAGATTTGCACTACGGGTTCCCCAGCTCCTTTCCAGGGAGAGAGGAGGGGAGGTCCTGAGGGGGCTGCTGCCCCTCACTCGGCATCCCCTGCAGTCAGGACTGCTCCCTGGGCCAGGCTGCCCTGGGAGGCCCCCTGAGCCCAGCCAGCCGGGCTCTCAGGCCCTGCGCCTGCCTCAGGTCTTTCTTGCTGCAGCCTGCTCCAGCCCGACCCCTACCCCAGGGGCAGGTGGCCCCTCCTGGCTTCTCCTGTAGGGCACCTCCCTGCCCCCAGCCCCCCAGGAAATGGTGCTCTCCTGGCCCTGCCTCTGGCCCTTCCTGGGCCGCTGCCCCCTCAGCCATGTGGCACTTCTGAGCTCCTGACCTAGGCCAAGGGGAGGTCTCTGCCCCCTTCCCCGGGCCTGGGCTACCCTTGGGTCCTGCTCCTCAGGCCACTCCCCTGTCCCTGGCCCTGGGGAGGCGGCTGCCCTGGTCATGGCCGCCTGCCTGTCATTCCTGACTCACCACCATCCCCAGGTGAACCATTCCTCCCCTCTCCTCAGCTGCAGTTGAAGGCTTTAACTTTGCACACTTTGGGATCACAGTTGCGTCATTGTGTGTTAAATACTCGGAATAAATCAAGCAGGTCTCAACGCCTCCACCATCTTGTCTGTATGCCCTGTCCATTGGGTGACTGGAGCCCCATCAGAGTTGGGCTGGGGGGTGTGGCACCAGGCCCTGCTTCCCCAGGAAGGTATGAGGGCGTTGTGGTACTGGGGGTGGGGTGGGGGCGTGTTGGCGCAGGTGGGCCCCATGTCAGGAGGTCTCCTAGGCTTGTGCCACACTGGCAAGTTCACCTGCTGCAAGCTGCTCAGCAACTCTTGCAGCCAGGCAGCATTGGGGAGGGTCATCACGGCTGTAGAATTCCAGCATCGGGGCCTCACCCGGCTGCCGAAATCATGCCACATGGTGCAGCCAGGGCACAGGTGGCAGTACAGCATGGCCAGGGCCTGTGGTCTCATCTGCCAAAACATACCTATAGGTACAAAGCAGAGTGAGTCAGCTCCCACTGTTCATATGTGCTTCAGGAGCTGCCTCCCAGCCTCAGTTCCCACTAGTGCAGACAGTACTGTCACATGGGCTGCTGAATACCCCTAGAGTTGAGAGGTTTTGGAACATTCGTATTGCCTTCCTGTGCCTCTGTTTTTGGGCAGTGGGCACAAAGCTGTCCATCGAAGGTACAGACACCACTCCATACAGCCATCACTCAAGTGGGCAGAGGCAGGGAAGATGGCCAGGGGGTCCTTGGGTGGTGGGAATGAGCAGACCAAGGAGAAGATCTGGATACACTCCTATGGCTAAGGGAGGGGCCCCTCAGCTCCCTGCTGCCATGCTGTACCAATACCTGCCCTCTCCCAGACCCCTTCTGCCAAAGAGCTATTTGCTCAGGGGCCAGCCTTTCACTGCATCATTTTTTAGCTTTGTGCTTCTAGGGATAAGAAAGAGCTAGACAGCAGGACTATCAGGTGGGCTCAGAGCTGGTTCAGCATCTGCTCCAGGAGTTCTTGCAAAGTGAATGGGTCATTGACAGTCCTGGGAGGCCTGTGCCCTGGAGTCTGGCTTTGATGAGCACCTGAGTCAGAGGTGACCTAGCAGGGAGGGAGGACAATGCCCAGGTCCCAGGGGATGCTTGAAGATGAGAGGGGATGGACCAAAACAGGGCCAAGTTTCATGGTTTGTCTTGTGCATTGGTTTACAAAAATCATGCAGGAAGCAGCTTGACCAGCCATTGAGATCGGAAGGATCTAAGCGTTTTCAGATAAATGCCAAGTCACTCTGAATCAAGAGCATGAGTGGTTCAAAGGGAGAAGTTCTGTTTTGAACTAAACCTAGTTGGTTAATAGAGCTGACCAATAGGATGAATTACCTTGTAAGTCAGTGATCTCCCCCTTAAGGTATGGTAGCATTAGTATGGCCCTTTGAGAGGAGGTTTTAGCACGGTGGCCCTGGAAGTTTGGTGCATGTCAGAATCACCTGGAGAGCTAATAACAAACAAGTCCTAGGCTTGCCGTAGTAGGATGAGATCTGGGCTTCTGGGTTGCTACTCAGCCCCTCAATTCTGATACATTCTAAAGTTAGAAGATTACTGTTGTAGAGGAATTCCATACATCTGGTTATATGGTCTGAGACTTGTCACAGCACGCATCCTAAGAAAAGCAGATGACACAGCACCCACCCCCAGGCTTCATTGCAAGGATTATGTGAGAACAAATGAGGAAGGTTACAGGTGCTCAGTAAATGAGTCTTTTTTTTTTTTTTTTTTTTTGACAAAATCTCGCTCTGTCACCCAGGCTGGAGTGCAGTGGCATAATCTAGGTGCCCACCACCACGCCCAGCTAATTTTTGTATTTTTAGTGGAGATAGGGTTTCACCATGTTGGCCAGGCTGGTCTTGAACTCCTGACCTCAGGTGATCCGCCTGCCTCGGCTTCCCAAAGTGCTGGGATTACAGGCGTGAGTAAATGAGTCTTATTGTGTCCTATGGGCTCTCCCTTTGCCTGGGTGATAAGCGCATGTAAGTCTGGACCCAGGCGACACACTTACTCTGGGTTGCAAATTCAGCCACAGTGCAGGAGGCTCAAGTGGGACAAAGGGAGAGAGACTCTGGGTAGGAAGGCCACAGCAGGTGGATATTCAGAGGCAGCTCAGAGCCACATTTGGGAGAAATGCAGATCAGAGATGCCTTGGTCAGCAGTACTACTTGCCCCCCTGAGGTCCAACCAGGTCTGCGCAGCGCACGTGCCCCCTTATCCCTCCTTGACACACACCCAGCACCATGTGGTCCAGGCTGCTCACCACCAGGTTGTCGAAGATGTGGCCCCACAGGCGCTGAAGCATGCTGCTGTGGTGCCCCAGGTCCCAGCTCGTGAGCAGCGGCATCTGCGCAAAGGTGTACCCACCTAGGGAGAGGGCACACTGCCAGCGTGCAGCCAGCCAGTGCCCCAGGATCCCTGCAGCAACATCAGCATTCAGGCAGCCCGCACCAGGCCGCCACAAAAGAAATGGCTCAGTGCACTCTCCCAGCCAGCACATCAAAGCTGCAGGCCAGGTGGAGCTGCAGGGACTTAGCCTAGGCAGCCAGCCTCACCCCCAGCCAGGGCAGGAACAAGAGCAACAGGTAGAGCCAGGGGACTGGGAGGCCCGGGCTTCAGTGCAGGTGTGTGGAGTAGGAGAGTCAAGTTACCCTCACGGGGGGGTAGCAGTGGGGCCATCTCTGGTGTGCCCTGGGGGACCAAGAGGAGGAAGAGTGGGTGGCCCTAGCCGTCTCCCAGGCTCCAAGGACTGAGAACAGGGCCCTCAGATGGCATGGCCCCATCATTCAGGGGGGACTGGACTAGCCTTCTGAGGCTCCTTTCAGCTTCTGTGGCTCCAGTGCCAGTCAGGAAGTGGGCAGTCAGCCGGAGGCGAGGCAGGGGCAGTGCCCCAGCTGTGAGCCACTCAGCTCCCCTCAGTCTTTCCCTCCACCCCACTTCTCACATCCAGAGTCAGGGCTGGAGAGGAAGAGAGGACCCAACCATTGGGGTGTGGTGGGTTGGCGGAGGTAGCTCCTCCCTTTCCCCTTCATTAGGGCTTTTTATTCTTTCAGGATCCCTTCTGGCTTGTAAGGGTCAAATTCCACCCTCAGCCTCTTTGACCCCACTATAGCCTGACACTCAGACTCAGCTAACCAGGAGGTTGCAGGGCCAACCCTGCCCACCTCACCTTACCCCTGACGCCTTCCTGCCTCCTGCTGAGGAGAGTTTGGAGGCAGGGAACCTGGGCAGAGGGCCGCTGGCCAGGTGGGAGCCTCCAGCCGCATGCAGCCTCTTCTAGGCCAGAGTACCCAGCCCCACCTCTCACACCTATTGTCCTCAGAGCAGGGCTTCTCACCTGCAGGGTTCAGGCATCACCATCGCCAGCCTCCTCCTTGCTTACCCTTCTGGCTTAGCTCAGGAGGGAAAACAGGTGGGATCAGGGACCCAGGAGACCTGGTCCCCAGCCTCCTGCTCCACCTGCTCTTAAGCCCATTGACAACATCAGCTTCTGGGCTGAGAGCCAGGGTGTCGGCTCCCAAGTCAGCTTCACCCCCCACCACCACCCCAGCCCAGCTAGAGTTGGAGAGGGGACATCTGGATAGCAAGATGTGGTATTAGCCTGGAACAGGTAAAGAGCAGCCTTTCGCTCACCCTGTGCCTCAGTTTCTCTATTTGTGATCCTAAAAGGGAAAGAGGTACACCCTCACCCCCAGGCATCCCAACTTCAGATATTTCACTTCCCCCTTCACCTTTCAGGGCAGGCTGATCTCAGGGTGGCCAAGCCCAGGGGCTGCCTTGGGCGGGTATTGAACTCAGGAGTCCTGGTCTCATAGCAGGCACCTTTCTGCTTCTCCCTCTTCTGCCAGTGGGCAGGATGATCTGAGGCTCCAAGGGGTTCACCTGGCAACTGTCAGGTGGGTAGGAAGGTTCTCCCAGAGAAGAAAAGGGGACTCGGGTCTAGAAGCAGTGGGAGCTGAGCGGTTCCCCAGGAGGGGATGTTGCACCAGGACCTTGCGGTGACCCACATGTCACTCTCCTACTTCAACTTTAACCTTTTCATTTCCATGGCTCCCTCCCTGTGGAAAGGCAGATAGTGGGAAACAAGTTTCCAAGAGGATTGCAAGCCTCGGGAAAGCAACTAGGGGAGAGACTTTCTTGGACCTCAGGCTACCAGGAGTCCTGCTTCCCTGTCCTCTTCCTTTATGTATAGAGAAGGGCATCGCTCCCACCCTCCACAGCGCTTCCAACTCCTTCCCATGCCTCTAATCTCTGGGAAAGTCTGGGGGCAAAAGGAGCAAAGAGCTTTTATGTGATGCTGTGGGGGAGAATGGGCAGGGGAAGAGGAGTGTTCCCTGTTCCAGGCTGTAGGACTCCGGGTCTGGGAGCTTCAGAAGCAGTGTGGCACTGTGTCCGGCAGATGGCGCCGAGACCCATCGACCGGTGGGACCCCAGGGAACCCGGAGTGGGGCAGTTTCCTAGGCAACAGGCAGCCCTTCTTTTCAAAGCCCGGCCTTTGGCAACCATTCCCTGGTTACCTGCATCCGTAGTAAAATTTGGCTTCCGAAGGACAGGCGGGGTTTGGGGGTAAACTAATTTCATCTCCCAGAAAGGAAAGAGGCTGGCTAGGTGGGGAGAGGAACCTAAAAGACCTGTTTTCTGCCGCCATTCATTACTATGCTGTAAAGGTGCATCTTATCCTCTGCAACCTATAGCAGTAATGCCTGTTCCTTTATGATGGATGGGACGACGAGGCTAGGAGAGAGGAAGTGACTTGCCCAAGTTGCCAGCAGGTAGGGCCTGGGCCTGCCTGGATGTCCTCGGGTCCATTCCATTCTTTCTCCCAGCAGCTGTGAAGTGTCCAAGCCCTGTGAGGGCGCTGGTGGAGAGGCTTGCCAGGAAGCCAGGAGCTGCAGGAGTGGCTGGAGAGAGGCAAGAATAAATCCAGCCCCTTCCGGCTGAGCTCTTTCCTTGCTTGACCTGGTGTGGGGAGACCTCTCTGCTCAGGGTCTCCCCTGACCTCATGGTGGGGCCTTCTCCTGGCAAAGGACCACAGAGGGACAGGGAATAGCAGTTCAGACTGGAGGTCATATGGTCCCTCTGCGATTTCAGGACAGGAGAGCTTGCCAAGGAGGACACAAAGCTGGAAACCAGGACTACCTGGGGAGAGGAGATGCAGGAAAGGATTCTGTTCCAGGGACTGTTCAGAGGAGAAAACTGACTTCAGGTAGGTCAAGGGACGTATTTGGAGGATTCAAATCCAGTTCAATTACCTGCTCTCCACTCCCTCGAGCTCTCTTCTCCCTGCCTACTCCACATCTCACACTGACCGTAACCAATGCTGAATTTCTGACTCCCTGTAGTAGTCTGGGTTCTCCAGAGAAACAGAACCAATCATACAATATTTTTCTAAAAAGAAAAATGTGTGTGTTTGTGGAGAGAGAGAGAGAGAGAGACAGACTATTATAAAGAATTGGCTCACATCATTGTGGAAGCTGACAAGTCCCAAGACCTGCAGTTGCCAAGCTGGAGACCCAGGAGAGCCAATGGTGTAGTGCCAGTTCGAGTCCAAAGGCCTGAGAACCAGGAGAGCTGATGGTGTAAGTCCAGAGTCCAAAGGCAGGAGAAGACTGACGTCCCGGCTCGAAGACAGGCAGAGAGAGGAGATTTTCTCTTACTCAGCCTTTTTTGTTCTATTCAAGCCTTCAATGGATTGGATGAGGGCCACCCACATTGGGGAGGGCTGTCTGCTTTATTCAATCAGCTGATTCAAATGTAAATCTCATCCAGAAACACCCTCCCAGACACACTCAGAAATATATTTAAACAAATACCTGGGCACTCTGTGGTCCAGTCAAGTTGACACATATAATTAACATCACACTCCCTGCCACCCTCCCAGACCTGGTCCTCCTTACATTTACCCTATCTTAAAAACTAACAAATTCATTCCTCTGGTTGCTCAGATAAACAAAACAAAACAAAAACCCTTGGAGTCATTCTTGACTACACTTTCTCTCACTCTTTATTTATTTATTTATTTATTTATTTATTTATTTATTTATTTATTTATGAGACAGGGTCTTGCTCTGTCTCCCAGGCTGGAGGGTAGTGGCACAATCATAGCTCACTGCAGCCTCGACCTCCTAGGATTAAGCAATCCTCCTACCTCTGCCTCCTGAGTAGCTGGGACTACAGACACACACTGCCACTCCTAGCTAATTTTTTATTTTTTATTTTTGTAGAGACGAAATCTCACTTTGTTGCCCAGGCTAGTCTTGAACTCCTGACCTCAAGTTATCCTCCCATCTTGGCCTCCCAAAGTGCTGGGATTACAGGCATGAGCCATCATGCTTGGCACACACTTCATATTTAATCCATCGGCAAATCCCATTAGCACTACCTTCAGTTTAACCACTTCCTCCAGTCTCTTCTGCAACAATGCTGCTCAAACCATCACCATCTTCCATCTGGGTTACTGCAAAGGGCTCCAATTTTCCTAGCCCCCACTGTTGCCTCCTTCCAGAATTTTCTCAATACACAGCAGCCAAGGTGATTATTCTAAAATGTAAATGAGAGCAGGTAGTTCCTCTGCTTAAAACACTCCACTGGTTTCTCTAGGGTCAAAGAGGAAGTCAGTCTTTGCTGGGGCCCACAGGTCCTTCATGATCAGGCCTTCACTGTCTCAGGCTTTCTCTTGCTTGTCCCCTACCCATACTGTCCTGGTCATGCTGGCCTCCTTGCTGTCTTCCAGTGCCAGTGCCCTCCTCTTCACCCCAGGCCCCGTGGCTCACTCCCTCACTTTCTTTGGGTCTGTGCTCAAGAGCATCGTGTTAGACCTTCCCTGAACCCCGTTGCCACCCCCGACACACTGTCACTCTCTGACCCCATCCCTGCCCATCCTGCTTCATTGTTCTCCATAACACATCACAAACATACTCTCTCTTTGTATGCATAGTGCCTGGGCTGTGTGGTGTGTGGCTCCTGCCTGTAATCCCATCAATTTAAGAAGCCTAAAGCAGGAGGATGGCTTGAGCCCAGGAGTTCGAGACCAGCCTGGGCAACACAGAGAGACTCGGTCTCTACAAAAAATAAATAAATAAAATAGGCAGGTATGGTGATGCCAGCCACTCAGAAGGCTGAGGCAGGGGAATCCCTTGAGCTCAGGGGTTCAAGACTGCAGTGAACTGTGATTATGCCTCTGCAGCCTGGGCAATAGAGCCAGACCCTGACTCTAAAACATAAATAAATATATGCAGAGTGTTTGTTTTCCCTGACATGTTTTTATCCCCTAAAGCGCTGTCACCCATAAATACTTGCTAAATGCTGAATGAATGCATAAAACATATATTCATCATCCATTCTGCATCAGGAAATATACAGCAAGGTTGAGGATACAAAGATATCGAGAGGAAACGTGCTCCCTTGAGGAACCAGGCAGCTGGCAGGGGAGACCAACCTTCTTTTGTATTTGTGGGTAATATAGTGTATACAGGATAACACAAAGATGGCACTTGGAGGGATGACTGTATGCTGGACACTGTGTTAACATGCGTGGTGCCATTTAATACAGCCCTGGGAAGTGGGGACTACAATCATCCTCGTTTCCAGGGGAGAAAACAGGCTCAGAGGGGCATAGTAATTTGCCTAAGGTCACCCAGCTTCTCAGCCACTGAGCTGAGGTTGTGACCCAGCCTCACTCTTTCTATTTCTATTTTTATTTTTTTGAGAGAGGGTCTCACTCTATCACCCAGGCTGGAGTGTGGTAGCATAATTACAGCTCACTGCAGCCTTGACCTCCCAGGCTCAAGCGATCCTCTCACCTCAGCCTCTTGATTAGCTGGGACTACAGGTGCATGCCACTACATCTACTAATTTTTTCTTTGTATTTTGTGTAGAGATGGGGTTTCACCATGTTGCCCAGGCTGGTCTCGAACTCCTGGCCTCAATGATCCTCCTGCCTCAGCCTTCCAAAATGCTGGGACTATAGGCATGAGCCATCACCCAGCCCACAGCCTCAATCTCTAGCCCCAAAGTCCCTGCCTCTCCCACTCTCCCGGGGGAGGGCAGAATAGGCTGGGGATGGAGAAAGGAAAGAGAAGAGTAGGGTGGAGGTTCTTCCTATCAGTAGGAGAGAGGTAGAGAAGGACTGAGCTGGCACGGGGCCCTGGGTGACAGGGAACTGTGCCAGCCCCACCAGCCTCCTCCCTCCCCTCATGTGTGCTCTGCAGCCCCGGGGCTGAGTGGGCTCCCTCTCTGGCATCGAACTTCTTTGTCACACCCCCACCCTTGCCTCAGGACTGGCTACACAGGCATCCCTTTCTGGTCCAGTCAGGCATATAACCCCAGGCTGACAGGCATCCGGGTGCCAGGGCAGCTTCAGCTGGCCAAGGGTGAGGTCATAGGCTGAGCACTCAGGGCCTGGCCCCTCCTCCCTCTCATTGCAGGCTCAGCCCTTGCCCTGCCCTTCTGCAAAATTCCCCTCTGACCTCCCTTCTGCCCCACAGCTTCCCCGCAGCAGGCTCTGGCTTCTACCTGGCAAGGCCTAGCGTATTAGTTTCCTTTGGCTGCTGTAACAAATCACTACACACTTAGCAGCTGAAAGCAACAGAAATGTACAATCTTACTGTTTTGGAGGCCAGAAGTCTGCAGTGGGTCCTCAGGGCTGCGTTCCTCCTGGAGGCTCTAGGGGACAACCCATTCCCTTGCTTTTGCTGACTTCTAGCGGCTGCCCCTTCCTCCATCTTCAGAATCAGCTATGTAATATCTTTAAATGTCCCTGTCTTTCTACCCTGCTTCCAGTTTCACACCTGCGCTGACTCTGACACCCTTGTCTCCCTTATAAAGACCCTTGTGGTTATATTGGGCCCATCTGATAAACTCTGATAATCTCCTCATCTCAAAACTTTCCATTTAATCACATCTGCAGAGTTCCTTTTGGCATGTAAGGTAACACATTCACAGGTCCTGGATTATGGACATCTTTGTGGGGGGCCACACCTAGCTAGGATGGTGACCTCCTCCCTAACCAGAGGAAGTAGTTCTCAACACGTTACCATGATCTCATGCTGTCCTTGTGGGGCAGCATGGATCCCCACAGTACAGACGACAAGCCTCGCTGACTCCAAAGCCTGTGGCCTTGTTGCAATCTCAAGGTTGCCTCCAAGATTGGAAATAAACCCCTCCCTCCTGGAGCTCCCCCATGGCCCCTCTGCTTTGGCTGGC